TGAGAATAATCTATGCTTCACTAGTTTTATTTTGTTCATCTTATATCTGTATTACATATCTATGTTCTATCTTTAACTGTTAGAAAAAAGAGTAAACATTACTAACAGTTATTGTCTTTTACTCAAATGTTCCAGCAACCTTTGCAATATGGTGATATCGAAGTAACTTCAGTATTAGAAAATCAAGTGTTCTAGTTTATTCACACATGAGTAAAGTTTATTATTTTCTGATTATTAAGGAACTATATATTGATTGTAGAATCTGTGCAATATATTACTAAAGGAAGCTGCTTATAATTAAACAGTTTTAATTGGTGAATATTTCCTTTCTGATTCTCCTTCCCCTCAGCCCCATTCAGTGCAATTTTGGAAATTTGTGATGAAATGAGCTAGTTCTTACAACATTGTCTCAGAATTGCCATAAGAATGAATATTCTGAATATATCAATTTTCGATTTTATTTTGTACTTCATTCTTTCTGAATTGCCTGAATTCCCACTCTGTGGTTGAAAATGTAAAATATAATTACTGAAATGACATGACTATCTTGTTTTGTTGAGAGGGGGAGCAAAGGCATACCCTATTGGTAGAGGCAACTGTTTAGGTCTGAGCAGCAGAATTAAACACACTGTTAATTGAGACTGATAATGCCACAGAACAGCACAAACCAAAGCTGAACCTAGTAAATCAAAGAGTAATTTAAAAAATCTGTTTAATTTGAGAAAGCAATGAAAGTACTCATGATAATTCCATGGTCTAACTTTCGCTAATGATGAGGCTTTGCAAGTTATCATGTCATTAGCAACAGATTTTAATGTACACCAGGCTGATTTTTGTTAGCCAGCTTCCTTTCTACCCCAGGAAGTCAGTGGGGAGGAAAGTGGAGGGCTTCAAGATTCTACCAGTTCCTCTTGTTACCTCTTCGGTGTCAACTTCTGGGAAAAGAAGCCATTGTAGGCTATTTAGTTGGTTTATTGCCTAGGTAATTCCCAAGCATATTACTTCCTTATCCCAATTTCAGAGGACATAGAACATACCTTGTTATTAAAAATCTAAGTGAAAAGGGAGATATGAGGATAGGTAAGACACCTAAAAAATTAGTTAGCATTTGTTGCCCTCAACACAGAGAAACTAAAGCAACTGAGGCCAATAGGAGAAGGGGACCAGAACTAGAAAAAAGGTTAGATCAAGAACAATTAACCTAGAAGGCAACACACACGCACAGGAAATTAATGTGAGCCAACTCCCTGTATAGCTATCCTTATCTCAACTAGCAAAAACCCTTGGTCCTTCCTATTATTGCTTATACTCTCTCTTCAACAAAATTAGAGATAAGGGCAAAATAGTTTCTGCCGGGTATCGAGGGGGTGGGGGGAGAGGGAGGGGGCGTGGTGGGTGGTAAAGGGGGGATGGGGGGAGAAATGACCCAAGCATTGTATGCACATATGAATAATAAAAAACTAAATAAATTAAAAAAAAAGAAAAAAATGTAAGTGAAGAAACATTGCTTTCTGTTCAAAGTCTGATTAGTTTTAAAAACTAATCAAGAAGGGAGCACAATTAACACAGGATAATATAACTGGTAACTTAATTTCACAGAAGGGACACTCTACTGTTGACACACAGTGACCATGGCATGGGGTTTGCTTGTGTGCACTCACTAGATTCTGTGCTATTTCTGCCTTCTTCCTGAGGGTATCTTTACCACTCCTTGCATCTGGCATTTCAGCTGTACATAGCTTTCCTCTGAAAACTGCTTTCCTTTCCCTCTCCTGCCTCCAACTTGGGTTGGACACCCCTTCTTGAATATTCTTTTGGCATTTAATCTTACTTGCACTTTTAAATGACTCTGTGAACTTCCCATGGACTCTAGGAGATACACGATTACATGAGGGTTAAGGCTGACCCACTTCTTTGGGAAGAAATTTGGTTTGTACCCTTTTCCCTCATGATGACATTGTGCACTGAATGGACATAGATTATTTTATTTAATAATTAGATTGAATCCTCATCATATTCTGTGTTTTACACACAAGGCCTACCTTACCATGGGCTCTTCAGCCTTACTCACATTTGTGGAAAATCTTAACATTGCTCAAAACTTTCCCTAGTGACTTCTAGGAGTTTTCAGAGACTCTCTTACATGTAATGGGATCATACAGGCTTACTTTTCTCCTCCTCCTCCTTCTTCCTTCATTATTTATTATTTAATTTTTTTGCTATAGCTTCCTCATCAAGGTGCCTGGGAACACCCCTGCTGCAGGCACTTTCTTTGTAAATATTCCTCATCTGCTGGCCATCTGGCACCTTTCAGGGCTCAGTGCTTTCAACTTCTGCCTTTTATGCCTTGGGCTCAAAACCAGGGCCCAGGGGTGTTCCTTCTTTCCTCTTATTGTTCTTATCTTCCATGTTCTCTTTTGTGAACCTGTTACAAAATTTCCATTATCTTATTCTAGCCAAAACCAAACACAAAATCCCTCAAAAACCTTAGTGTATCGGTTTAGGTGACTGTATTCCCAAAGTGGTCACCAGGTTAATGGTGCTCCAAATAGTGAGATACAGACAGAAAACTAGTGACATTAAAAGCCTCACAATGTACTTACATATAGCTAAATATCATTTTCCAAAATGAGGTGAAAAATGTCTCAAATATTATTCATGTAAAATATTTTCAAATAAACATATAAGTGAACCAACTTAAAAAGTAATTGAAGGTAAAGAGTTCTGAAGTCTTTTACTCAAACATCAGAAGGAACTCATCCTTTTTAATTTCTAATTTTTTTTTTGTGGTACTAGGGTTTGGACTCAAGGCTTCATGCTTTCATCTTTGCTGGGCAGGGGCTCTACCACTTGAACCACTCTGCCAACTAAAAATATTTTTATTTTTAATTGACATATAGTTATTTTACATACTTATGAAAAATAGTGTAACATTTCAACACATGTATACAATATGTAATACTTAGACCAAAATGAATGGTATATCTATAAACTCAGATATTGATCATTTCTTTGTGTTGAAAAGACTTAAAATCCTCCATGCTAATTATTTTAAAGGTTTCAATTAATTTTGTCAACCACATATGCCAGTGTTGTAGAACATTAGTAGTTATTCCCAGTATACATCTGCACCCTGTTAGCTGTGAGCCAGCTGCTCACCTTCTTATAGTTGGTGAAGGCAAGGAGATTAAGCAGACTGTCCAGGGTCAGGCCACAGTTTATCAGAAGAGGATGAGAATAGATTGCAGTTCTGCTGACTTCATTGCAAAGTTGGATTCCCCAGCTCCTGATGCACTGCTTGCCATGGCTGCCTTTATTGTCTTAAGAACTATAATCACTTTAAACCTCTGGGGAAGGGAGTGGGAAGAAATGTTTCTAGGTTGACCTTCAAATGTTTTATCCTCAGTTACATATAAATTAGATTTGCAAATCTTGGAGCTGTATGAAGAATCTTCGCTAACAGCTTGCAAACATTTAAGTCGGTGATTTGGGCAAGATTTATAGTGCAAACATGCCTTTTTTATCCCCATAATTACATCTATTTCAAATGTTCAATTTGTCTTCAAGGTTGAAGGGCTTTCTTACTCGGACAAAAGATATCAGTAATTACATTGATTAAAAACAAAATTCTATAAAATGAAAAACAAGCCAAGCACCAGACAGACCCTTCCACACACATACATGCTGCTAATTTTGTCGACCAGGCTCTGCCTTCACTGAGAAGTGGTAAAGGGAAACCTCCATGGTTTGCTGAAAATGGCTCTTCTTCAATTCCCTAGTGATGTCTTTGTTTTAGAACCAGTACTGCGAGCAACACTCAGATTGCACCATTTTTCACAGTTCATAGTAATGCTGTCATTCATTTAAAGAACATTTGTTTAGTGTAGTATTTCCCAAAATAAGATAAGCAATATGTTATATGATTTGCCTGCATCTTCTCCCATTTGCAGTGGGAACATCTGATACTACCTTAATATGAAATGTGATACATTTCTCCTAGAACTTAATGTTAAGTATATATTCCTCCAGATTAAGTTGTTTGGTTCCATCCCCAAAACAATATGAGCTTTAAAACCTTTTCCCATCTCTCCCTTTTTCCTTGACATGGACAAGCAGTACATGCAGGACTGAACTGGTAAATTCTTACTGGATTGGTTCTGATTTGTATCCCTTTTGTAATTTCTTAAATTGTGCAACTCTGTTAACTTTGAGTAGTCACAAAGGTTAGCGATATTGAAAAAACACAAATAGGGCTGGGGATGTAGCTCAGTGGTAGCGTGTTTACCTAGCATTCAAGAGGACCTGGGTTAGATCTCCAGCACTGGGAAAATAAAAACAAAAATAAAAATAAAAACAAACAAACCCTACAAATATTATCCAATATTAGCCATAGCTCTGTCTTCCTGTGGGTAACTACTATCAACAGGCTATACATATTTATGAACTTTCCCCCATTTGTATAATAAGTATGTTTACATATAAAGCAATGTTATAGCATATGTGGTTTCGAACTTTTTTTTTTTTTTGTGAGACAAGATCTTGCCATGTAACCCAGGCTGGCCTCAAACTTGTGATCCTCCTGCCCCAGCTTCCTGAGTGCTGAGATTACAGGATTACAAGTGTCAGGCCATCACACTGGGCTTGCCACCATCATCCTTCTATGCCAAAATTTCATATAAAGCCATGTTTAATGGTTACATACTTATCCATTGCATGGGTATACATATCATAATTTATTTACATAGGCCCTTATTAGTGTCTGTAGGTTTTAAAATTTTAAATTATAAATGTCCTTCTTTGTTTCATTTATGTGGTTCTATTGTAGTCTCTTAAAATTGTCTTCCAAAATCTGGCAGCATAATGAATAAATAAAATCCTAGGAATATTCCACATGTCTACAACTGTATTTAGCATGCATTAGCATGATCACATAGTCTCTATGGTGCAGAATGTTATTCTGGAGACAAACAATTCTCTGCTCCCTCTAGGTCTCAACCAAAATGAGTGAGACTCCTTCTACTAGTTTTTCTACTGTCTATCGGACTTCCGAAGGCCAAGTTCCTTCATCTCGCCATTTAAGCATCACTCATCCTGTTGTGGCCAAACGGATCATCTTCTACAAGAGCGGAGACCCCCAATTCCGCGGTGTCAGGGTGGTGGTGAACCCTCGTTCCTTTAAGACCTTCGATGCTTTGCTGGACAGCCTGTCGGGAAAGGTGCCCCTGCCTTTTGGGGTGAGGAACATCAGCACCCCTCGGGGAAGGCACAGTATCACGAGGCTGGAGGAGCTGGAGGATGGTGAGTCATACCTGTGCTCCCATGGTAGGAAGGTACAGCCAGTTGACCTGGACAAGGCTCGCCGGCGCCCGCGGCCCTGGCTCAGCAGCCGCTCTGTCAATACGCATGCGCCCCGCCGCCCGGCCGCACCAGCGGCTCCCAGCATGCCCCGCGCCCCGCGAAGGCTTCTGGTCTTCAAGAACGGCGACCCACAGAGCAGGCGCGTGGTTCTTCTGAGCAGGCGGGTCACCCAGAGCTTCGAGGTCTTCCTGCAGCACCTGAGCCAGGTCATGCAGTGCCCGGTGGCCAAGCTGTATGCCACTGATGGGAGGAAGGTGAGCATTCCGCAGTCCAGGCGGGCGAAGGGCAGCCCCCCAGGAAGACAGGCCCACCTGTCTTAGTCTGTTTCTCTGTGTCTCGCTGTCCTCCACACCACTACCCCCACCCCGCCTCCCTTCTCTTTCTCCTCTCCTGTTCTGTCTGGGCATTGGGCACAACTGTTGCCTTTTCCTTTCTGTCTTCCCTGAGCACCAAGTTACAGAGTTTTGGCACAGAATCCAATTTTGGTAATATTTCTTGGAAGGGAGTGGGCACGTTCTTCTAGCTGGAGAAAGTGTTTTCCTAAGATCCCTGCTGGTGGGTCTGCAGCTGGCAGCATGTCCAAAGAGGTTACTTTCTTGGCCGGGCCATGTTCACTGGACCTTTTCCCAGCAGGCCCTGGGGAGGCAGACATTTCGCTTTGTTTAATACAGTTGTAGACTTAAGTGGGGAATATCAGACTCCTTTAGTTTCCAGCTTCTGCTAGTAGATAGGTTCAATAAGGTTGTCCCCCTTTTCTATCCATTTTTGTAGCTATCTTTGGGGGCCTAAGAAAATGCGTGGTGAGTATCTCAAGCCTGGGAAGTTACTGAATTGATTCATTCAAAATTACAAAATTACCACATGGAAAAACCGAAACTTGTTCATGTAAGGACATGACTCTGATTTCTTCTAGGTTCCTAGCCTCCAGGCAGTGACTCTAAGCTCTGGAGCTGTGGTGGCAGCAGGAAGGGAACCATTTAAACCAGGAAATTATGACATCCAAAAGTACTTGCTTCCTGCTAAATTACCAGGGATCTCTCATCGTGTGCACCGGAAGGGAAATGCTAGGGCAGAAAGCAGAAAGAGTAAGTTATTTATAAATATGTAGGCCTTATTTTTAGGCCTGAGGGTTGTTTGTTTCGAAAAAAAAAATGCTTAAATGACCAAGTAAATCACGGAAAATACATGAGGATTAAAAATATTCTAAAATGAAGTTGATTCTATTTGTCATCGGAAAGAGTAATTCAAAAATTACACCTTGTAATTTTTAAAGACGTTTCCAAATCAATTAATAATCATCTTATATTGATGAGTTATGCTTTCTAATTTTTGTTTTTGCATAAAATAACCTAATTTCTGCATAAAATGCCTAGTTAAAGTAACATGACAGAAGTTCCTTTTTTTGGCAGTACTGGGGTTTGAACTCAGGGCCTCATGCTTGATAGGCATGCACTCTACCATTTGAGCCAGTATGCCAGCAAGACGCCAGAATTCTTTGCTTTGAACAGGAAATTTTATGGAATTCATGTAAGTGGTATCTCTGGTAGTTTTGGTGTTTTCTCTGAATAGTACCTTGAAGCATTCATAGCTATAGCTGAGCTCAGCAGGTTAGTAGAGTGACTATATATTTTCAAATCTACCTATATGCTCTACCTTCTGAAGTTACTTCTTTAAAAATTATAAATCTTTAGGACCACTTTTTATTTATTAAGAAAAGGTTCATGAAGTCAATTCACACTAGTCAACAATAATCTAGGTTAATTCCTTAGGGTTGGCTGCACAATGTAGTATTATTCTTTGGATAGGGGAGCAAGAGGGCCTCTTGAGGCTCAAGGGTGTGGGAGAGGCTAATCTCATTATTCATTGTGCTCAGTATTTCCTGGGAAACTTTAGCTCTATGCTAATGTACTGATTGCCATTTGTATTTGAATTTTAATTTTCATTCTCTTTAGACATGGAATAATAGGCATTTTAAGAAGTACTAATCCCTCCAATTCTTAATAATGTGGGTAAAATTCATCCATTATTGTCATTTAATTATTTCATGGATATGCTTAATAAATAATTATTAATGCACTATTTATAGGCATTAGGCCATCAAATACATGTTACACATTGGTAGTAGTATTTCACCTTGGTCATTTTACTAATGTGATTTTACTTTTTTATGGCATCCCCTCCCCAGTCCCCCTTGGGACAGGGTCTTACTATGTATCCCTGGCTAGTCTGAACTTGCTATAAAGCCTGATTTAGCCTACCAAGTACTGAGGGCTTATAGGTGTGTACCACCACCATGCCAAGGCATATTTTGTATCAGATATCAGCTGCTGATTATGATTTTTGATGAAGTTAGGAAATTTAAGAAATTTGTTAAGTTTTACTTAAAAAATTAAGAGTGAGGCATTTTCATTTATAATTTTGGTAAAACCATATGAAAAATAATAAAATATTTTTGTGTTTGTACTTTGAAACATTAAAGGTGGTTACTTGATTGTGGGCATGTATGGATCTACAGAGACTACTAATAGGAATTTGATTGAATTTAAGAAGCAGAAATGTCAAGATCATACACTAAAAAATATCTAAGCAGGGTGTGTGGGGGTATATGCCTAAATCCCAGCATTTGGGAGACTGATGCAGGAAGATTTTGAGTTCAAGGTCAACCTGGGATACCTAGTAAGACTGTGTCTCAAAAAAACCAAAATTCAGACCTATGTTCTCTTTTGTGCCATAAGTTAAATCAACATCACTGATTATACAAAATGAGCATTAAATTAATTGTTATTTGATTAATCCAGTCTTAAATACTAAAAAGGTTTCTGCTTTCACAAATCTATAGCTATCCCTCTTGGGTAGGATAACACCATATACTTTTTACTTGCCTTGTTTAAATAGATAAGTAGCACTTGATTAGACTCCAGTTTTAGGATTGGCAAATGAAATAAAATGAAACAAAACCCCACAGAAACCTTTTTTCTTCAATAGAATCTGTAGCAATTTCTATGCTATATGTTTCTTATTAAAATTACCTCATTAAACTTGTTAAAAGTAAAATTTTGTGAATCGCCTCATTTAAGTAGAATTACAGGTTTCATTTCAAGAGTGGTTTGAAGAAATGTACCAGATGTTACAGTAAGTTTTCTCAAATAATCATTGAATACATAAAGTTTAGAAACATACTGATATTTTACTGTGAAATACAGAAAATTTGATAGTTTTTGTACTAATTTTTTTCTTTTTCCTCTTCTTTCTCTGCTGCCTTTTCCATTGGATATTTATAACTTCTCTACCTTCCATGTTGTATTTTGATGTGGATATCTTTTACTCTTAAAATATTGAAAGCGAGCACACACATGTCTTCAATGCCAGGATCCCAGATTTATTCTGTCTCTTCTAACAAAACACATGATTTCTACTCAGACTATTCTTTTGTTCCTGAAAACTACTTGGCCTTAGAAAAACATGATTCTCAGAACTTATCAATATATCCTTCTGAAGACGATATTGAGAAATCAATTGTTTTTAATCAAGATGGTACTATGACAGTTGAGATGAAAGTTCGATTCAAGATAAAAGAGGAGGAAACCATAAAGTGGACAACCACTGTCAACAGAGCTGGTCTTCCTAATAATGATGAAAAGAATGATATAAACAGTTTTCCAGGAAGAACAGATGATCGATCATCTAGTTTAAAACTTACAGCATGTTCCTTGTCTGCTGATGTCTCAGGCAATAATCAAGAGAGCAGTTTGTCAACGGAAATAAATACACAAGTGACAGATGGAGAGGCTGATACTTGTAGTTCTGCTAGTTGGGAGAATGCTGCTACGGGCACAGGTAACATCCAGGAAAGTCAGGATCAAGTGAAGCATCATTTTTATAGGCCTCCTACACCTGGACCAAATAGAGTGAGACAAAAAAAGTCTGTGATAGGGAGTGTGACCTTAGTATCTGAAACAGAAGTTCAGGAGAAACAGTTTTCCTATAGTGAAGAAAGGGAAGGTGGGGAAAACAAATCCGAGTATCACATGTTCACACATTCTTGCAGTAAAATGTCATCAGTATCTAACAAACCAGTACTTGTTCAGATCAGTAACAACGAGCAGATAGAATCATCTTTAGAAAGAAAAAAGGAAAGCAGACTCCTGAAGTCAAGTGCAATAAGTGCTGGTGTTATAGAAATTACAAGTCAGAAGATGTTAAAGATGTCCCATAGTAATGACTTAGCATCAGCAATATCAGAAAAATCAACTGTGGAAGAAGGTGTAGTTGATAGTGGAATATCAGACAACAAAACTGGTATCCAGAACTTTGGAACTTACGATAATTCCAATGATAGATTCAGTCCTTTTTCAACAGGTGCAACTCACTCTTTAAGAAGCAGCACAGGAACTGACAAAATTATTTCTGAGGCTCCAGCTTCAGTAGGATCCTCTACAGATAGCATAAGAATTAACAGACTAATTAATGATTTTGCTCAGTGTGGTTTAACAGAACTTACAAAAAGTGGAAAGCAGATTTTGTCATCTGTTACCAGCAAAAAGAAGAAGAAAGCTCACCAGCAAGTGATAAATTTCAGGTATCAGGATGGGAAGATTGCAACCAAAGGAGTCTCTAACATGAGTCTGAGAGTAAACAGAAGAGGTAGAATTGCACAGAAAACCATATTGCAAGATTCTGACAGTTCCCGTAAAAGGAATATACTTTGTGAGGAGGACCCCCATACAAATGATATGGTAATTCAACCAAATCTCAGTCCCACAATTTCAAAGAATTTCCACAGAAGTAAATTAAATACTATTCAAAATCTTAGGGTTCAGGGACTTTTAACCAAAAGAAAATCCAGGACACTAAAGAAAATAAGCTTAGGAGGACCTAGAAAAAGAGAAATTCATCAAGGAGATAAAGTATTTCCCTCTAATGAATCAAAATATTTCAAAAGTACTTTGGAAAATCAAAGTTTATTTCATGTGTCTAGCGTTCTTGAGCAAAATCCAAAAGCTTTTCATGGGCCAAAGTCTCAAGCAGAAGTGACATCTAGAAATTTGAGAGGAATGGTAAAAAAGAGTTTAGTTCCAAAATCTAATGATTCACATATAACTTTAAAAAGCCAGAAAAAGCAAAAAAGGGATACATTGAAATCAGGTGCTATTGTAAGTAAACAACATGCTATAACCAGGGAAAATTCTTTAGCTTCTTTGAAAAAATCTGGTTTTCCTGAGGATATTTCCCACTATTCAGTTCAAAATTACATACAGAGATGGTTGCACAACATAAATCCATATCCAGCTTTACCTAGAAAGTCAGCCCCATCATGCAAAAATGAAAGGAGTGTGGTAACTTATAATAGTAATGATTTTCCAGGAAATAATCCTCATACAAATTCTGCAAAAGGAAATAACTTTATTATGGAAGGTAATAAGCACATAAACAAAAATGCCAGTTGGATAGGAAGTAATCTATGTAAAGAACAATGTGAGTCTCTAATTATCAAAGATAATGGTGAAGAAATTAAAAAAGATCCCTGTGACAGCCAGGATGGATCTCTTAATGATGCCTACTTGATTTCCCTGCATGAATATTGTACTATGTCACAGTCAGCTATTAATGATTGTAACACTATAAGTCAGATATCTGCTGAAAAGTCAGGACCAAAGGCAGGCTTTGTTTATCAAGAAATAAACCTAGCTCCAAAAGGGCAAAGTGTAGAGGCTGCCATTCAAGTAGATCCTATGGAAGAGAACGCTCCAAAAGACCTCTTACCAGTCTTGTTGCTTAACCAACTGCAAGCTTCAGTTTCTAGTGTTCACAAGTCTCAGAATGGAGTTGTTCAAATGCCAGGTTCACTTGCAAATGTTCCCTTCCCTTCTGCAATATGTAATACATCCACTAATCTCCTTCTCGCTTGGCTCTTGGTGCTCAACCTAAAGGAAAGTATGAATAGTTTCTGTCAAGGTGATGCTTGCAAGATTACCAACAGATCTTCTGAAATACTTGCATTGATGGAGGTTCTAAAGCATATTGCCATTACAGAGGAAGCGGATGACTTGAAGATGGCTGTTGCTAATTTAGTGGAATCAACCACAAATTGCAGCGAGCCCAGTGACAAAGAACAAGATATATTGCCAGTAGATCTTTCTGCAAATTGTACCATAGCCAACATTCAGAGAGTTCCTAAGTGCAATGAAAATGAAAGAACACAGAAAATCTTGTTGGGTGGAGGCTATTCTGCCAGTGAGGGCTGTGACTTTGAGTTCTGTGTTTCAGCGTTGTCTAGCAAGTCACATGATTCTCCATGTGAGATTTGCACTGTAAATAAGACTTATTCTTCAAAAGAGATGTGTAACTCCAGTGACACTTTTTTCACTGGTGATGGTTGTGCCATCAGTCAGACCTTGATGGATAAAGATAGTTTCTCAGGAGAGGTCTGTTTAGTTACTGATGCCGAGTCTTCCCATAAGGCTTGTGCTCAAAAGGAGAACCATATCAATGAAGCAGCATGCCCAATTCCTGTTCCCATCAGAGTTTGTAATACCACGAGCTTTTTAAATTCCAAAGAAAATAAATATAACCTAGAATTAACTGAAGAATTCAAAAGAATTGATGTTCAGAAAGACCTAAATACTTTGTCAGACCCTGGAAATAAGAATGACTTTAACACATCAGTGTCACATCAAAATGCCAGTAACTCAAGCCCCTGTGACCTTTTCCTAAATAAAGCTGATCCAGAATTTGATGAACATAATTCTCTAGATAAATTTAAAAAATGTTCATTAAAGAAATATCAGGATAAAAATGCATATACATTCTTTGATAAGGAAGAATCAAGGACTTCTGAAGAACCAAGTTCAGTAACCAACAGCATGACATCAAGTGAAAGAAATAACATTTCAGAATTGGAATCTTTTGAAGAATTAGAAAACCAAGACAGTGGTGTATTTAACACAAAGGTAAATGCAGGAGAGCAAGCCACTGAAGACTCAATCCAAGAAGAGCTAGAGGCTAGTAAAAATTTGGAGTTGATAGACATACCTAACAGGAATATAGAAGAAAGAAGAAACAGTGTGATTTCTGAGACAATCAGTAGGAGGCAGATGACACCACCATCTTTAGTTTTTTGCTATGATTCTAAGCAAAATACTAAAAAGGAGATTAGTGCAGGAGAAACTAAAAGAGTTAAAATGATGGTGAAAAGCATGGAAATTGGAAGTTATTCCAAGTCATCTCTTGATTTTAAAAAATGCTTAAAAAGTCCAGTGACTTCTGACCGGTTGGACTATAGACCAGACAGTGAGAGTGAGCAGCCGCATAAAACATCCAGTGATGACCACAATGATAGTGACCAAGAAAAAGATTGCAATCGAGGATTTGTTAAAAGGACAATAGAAAAGCTCTATGGGAAAGCAGAAATTATTAAACCACCTTTTTTCCCTGGGTCTATACACAGATCTCAAGTTTGCCCTTACAATTCTGTGGAATTTCAATGTGCTAGGAAAGCAAGTTTTTCTGATACTGAGGGTCAGTCATTTGGCTCTTCTGAACAGGTATCTAATAGTTCACCTATGTTGCAGGAATTCCAGGATGAAAGACAAGGTAAATGTAATGGTGTAAGGGCCAGTCATCATGGGGGTGACATTGTGGAACATGGTGCAAAACGAGTTGATATTAACAAGGTCCTTAGAGACAAAGAGGAAGGAGAACTGATTGACAAAGGCAAGTGGCTTTTGAGAGAAAATCATTTGCTAAGGGTGTCATCTGAACATCTTGGCATGTATGGCAATGCAGATACCACATCACTGGATACACTACCTGATAATAACAGCATTGATGTGCCATATTCACATTTTGGAAATTTGGGTGTAGGCCCAACAATGGCTGAACTGTCCTCTTCAGAACTGGAGGAAATGACTCAACCCCTTGAACTGAAATGCAATTATTTTAACTTACCCCATGGTAGTGACTCTGAGCCTTTCTGCGATGATTTTCTAGATGTTCAGAATAAAACCTGTGCTAAGGAGAGAGTACCAAATCACAACACAGAGGAGAAGGGTAATCATTTGTCAGAAAGAGTGTGCACATCTGTCACTCATGCCTTTACACTTGCTGGTAACAAAGTCCATCCTGTTTCTGATGATACTATTAAAACCCAACCATTACCTGTCAGCAATTTAACTCATGGTGCACTTCAGGAAGGTGACTCTTTAGATAAACTCTATGCTCTTTGTGGTCAACATTGCCCAATACTGACTGTTATACCCAACCAGTAAGTGAGGAAAACCGAGGCTTTGCTTATCGCAAAGATTCTGATATTGAAAATTCCTTGGGTTTCCATTTATGGATGAAAATATATCCATATTTGCTACAATCAAACAAAAACATGTTCGGGGTTAAGAACAATAGAGCAAGTATGAGAAAAGAATTTGTTAATGCCACTGGTGATCCATTTGATCTCCTTGATTTCAATAACATGTTTGACATGATGGGTAAAAGAAGGAAACCGAAAAGAATCAACTTGATGGACTTAGAGGAAGAAAATAATTTGAAGAAATTTCAATTACATTTGAAGGAAAGTTTTTGTGTAAATTGCTTGCACGCATCATTGTTAGCTGTGGATGCTGTGAACTCTGATATACAAAATCGCAGCAATTGGACATGTATCTTTAAAACAGTTAATGAGAATAACAATTTATTAAATAGATTCCAAGGCTCAAGTACAAATCTAAACCAAGTAGTAAGAGAAAATATCAATTGTTATTTCTCCTTTGAAGCTCTTGGTCAAGCCTGGTTGTTAGATATTTGCCAAGTTGAAACATCTTTAAATATTATCAACAGAAATGTGTTAGAAATATATTTTTTTGAGGGTGAAAATATTTTCATTTGGGAAGAGGAAAATCAAATACAGCTTTTTTTTTTTTTTTTTTTTGGTTGGACTAGCGTTTGAGCTCAGGGTTTTATGCTTGCAAAGCAGGACCTCTTCCCCTTGAGCCACACCTCCAATCCATTTTGCGCTGGTTATTTTTGGAGATAGGGTCTTCTGAGCTATTTGCCTGGGCTAGCCTTGAATTGTAGTGCTCCTCATCTTGGCCTCTCAAGTAGCTGTGGTTACAGGTATGAATCGCTGGTGCCTGGCTCAGATTTAACTCATCTGGAAGGCAGTATTGAACAAGATAACTTATAATTTCATTATTGGTACAACCTTTCCGTGTTAATTCATTTCTTTTGTAGTAAGATTAAGCACTTGGGATGGACATAGACTAGATAACCTCCTTTCTTACTCTTTTAAAATAAGCTTATTGTAGAAAACCTACCTTTGGTTAAACTGATTTTACTTTCATCATTCCACTGTTCCTCATTTTCTCAGCAATTAGTTTTTATGTGGTTTTGTTCTGAACTTACATGATTTCTTATATCCCTCATATTTTTCCCAGGGCATCAAAAATATGCCTACTATAAGAATTATGCCTTTTTTTCTTTTTTATACTGTCAACTTTGTATAAATATATGTTGACTATATTGGTGAATAAATGGAATAGATACAGCTTTAAAGTACTTCATTTATTAATTTTAAATGCTGATTTGATAAAAAAAAGTATTAATGAAAGATCACCACAATCTCCTGGTTTCTCGTGCCAAATGTGTTGAATCTAGTTCCTTCATTAGAACACCTATCTAATGCAGTTTCAAGTGTTTCCATGGGACAGGATGCACCCATTTTCTCATGAAAAAGATATTTCATCACTAAGCTGCCTGTCCAATACCCTTCTTGAAGAGATTCCAATCTCTTAAACATTAGTAAAATGCCAAGAAATTTGAAGAGGTTAGAAAAAAATTGAGGAAACATAAAGGCACATTGAAGGAACATTAAGTGAGCTGGAATGATTTAAACTGGAGAAGAAAATAGACAGTTGTCTTCAAAATCCTCTTCAAATTGAAAGAAAATTGGTGTGAAGAACTTGGACATGTTTCTTTCTGTGTTTGTATGGTTCAATAAAACATTTCATTGGACATAAATGAAACATCATTGCCTAGAAGCATTAATAAATTCAGCTAGACTATGAATCACAGATTATTTTTAACATTTACAGTGTATTGTCTGAGTGTTAACCAGAAAACATTTTTTTCAGTACTGGGGTTTGAACTCAGGCTCTACACCTTTAGCTAGTCCACTAGCCCTTTTTTGTGAAGTTTTTTTTGAGATAGGGTCTTGTGAACTATTTGCCTGGGCTGACTTTGATCTATGATCCCCCTGAATTCTGCCTCCTGAGTAGCTAGGATTACAGGTGTGAGCCACTGGTGCCCGGCACACCAGGACATCTTTTAAGTTTTTTTCCACTCTATGACTGTAAGATACTACAGATCACGGTTCAAAGCCAGCCCTATCTTGAAAAAAACCCTTCACAAAAAAAGGACTGGTGGAGTGGCTCAAGGTGTAGGCCCTGAGTTCAAGCCCCAGTACCGCAATATATATATATATCTTTAGAAAACCTATGTTGTCTAGAACTGAGTCAAAGTATAATGCTTAATGTTCTTGGAGCAACACATCATGGAGATGGTAAATTAACACAAATCTGGCATCAAGGAACTAAAAGTAAGTAATTACATAAAGCGTAACTTTGGCTTCAGCTCACTATCAGTCATAAATTCATAAAGTTATAAATCACCACCAGATGATGAATACCTCTACACAGAGTATGCGTTTTCTACATTAAGTGATGCCCTCTTCCTTTTTATTTTGTTTTTTTGTTGTTGTTGCACCTGGGTTACATTGTGACATATACAAAATTTCTTACAAAACATCATAGTTGAATTCACTCCCTCCATCATTCTCTTTTATTTCCCCTCCTCCCAATCCTGGAATAGTTTCAACAGGTCTCATTTTCCATTTTCATACATGAATACACAACATTTCCACCATGCTCACCCTCCTACAGCTTTTCCCTACATCATCCCCACTCCCACTGGTGCCAACACTCAGACAGGGCCTGTTTTACCTTCCTGTTCTCCATTTTTGAAAAAAGACATTTTTTTTGTTTGTATAAGATAGCTATACAGGGAGTTTCATTGTCACATTTCCATGTATATATGTATTATAACCTGAATTGTTGATCCCCTCTATTTTTGTCCTTTCTACTTTGGTACCCTTCTTAGGGTGCTTTTAACAGGTTTAAAATTCTATATTCATTCTTATAGAGAAAGTACATCAACCATATTCACCTCAGTGTCCTTTTATCCTCCCTGTCCTGTTAGTTACCTCCCTTAGCATGTCTTGTTTTTCATAATGTTGCTTGCATTTGTATCGGGCCTATATTCCACATATGAGAGAAGAGATGTAGCCTTTGGTTTTCTGGACCTGGCTAACTTCACTTAAAATGATCTCCTGTTCTATCTATTTACCTGCAAATGACAAAATTTCATTCTTTTTTTTTTTTTCATTTTTCTTTTATTATTCATATGTGCATACAAGGCTTGGTTCATTTCTCCCCCGTGCCCCCACCCCCACCCTTACCACCCACTCCACCCCCTCCCGCTCCCCCCCCTCAATACCCAGCAGAAACTATTTTGCCCTTACTTCTAATTTTGTTGTAGAGAGAGTATAAGCAATAATAGGAAGGAACAAGGGGTTTTGCTGGTTGAGATAAGGATAGCTACACAGGGCATTGACTCACATTGATTTCCTGTGCGTGGGTGTTACCTTCTAGGTTAATTCTTTTTAATCTAACCTTTTCTCTAGTTCCTGGTCTCCTTTTCCTATTGGCCTCAGTTGCTTTAAGGTATCTGCTTTAGTTTCTCTGCATTAAGGGCAACAAATGCTAGCTAGTTTTTTAGGTGTCTTACCTATCCTCACCCCTCCCTTGTGTGCTCTCGCTTTTATCATGTGCTCATAGTCCAATCCCCTTGTTGTGTTTGCCCTTGATCTAATGTCCACATATGAGGGAGAACATACGATTTTTGGTCTTTTGAGCCAGGCTAACCTCACTCAGAATGATGTTCTCCAATTCCATCCATTTACCAGCGAATGATAACATTTCGTTCTTCTTCATGGCTGCATAAAATTCCATTGTATAGAAATGCTACATTTTAAAAATCCACTCAGTTATAGGGCATCTTGGCCATTTCTATAGCTTAGCTATTGTAAGTAATGCTGTAATAAACATGGGTGTGCAAGTGCCTGAGTTATGTTTCTTTGGGTATATTCCTAGGAGTGATATTGCTGGATCATATGGCAGTTTTTGAGAAGCCTCTATACTGTTTTCCACAGTGGTTGTACTAATTTACATTCCCACCTGCAGTATATGAGGGTTCCTTTTTCCTTGCATCCTTACCAACATTTGTTGTGTTCTTAATGATAGCCATTCTAACAGGAGTGAGGTGGAATCTTAATGAAGTTTTGACTTGCATTTCCTTTATGGCCAGGAATGTTGAGCATTTCTTCATGTATTTTTTGGTCATTTGAACTTCTTCCTTTGAAAAGGCTATGTTCAGTTCATTTGCCCATTTCTTCATTAGGTCATTGATTTTTGGGGAGTTTAGCTTTTTGAGCTTCCTGTATATTCTAGTTATTAATCCCTTGTCAGATGTATAGCAGGCAGTTTTTCTATTATTCTTTTTTTTTTCATTTTTCTTTTATTATTCATATGTGCATACAAGGCTTGGTTCATTTCTCCCCCCTGCCCCCACCCCCTCCCTTACCACCCACTCCACCCCCTCCCGCTCCCCCCCTTCAATACCCAGCAGAAACTATTTTGCCCTTATCTCAAATTTTGTTGTAGAGAGAGTATAAGCAATAATAGGAAGGAACAAGGGGTTTTGCTGGTTGAGATAAGGATAGCTACACAGGGCATTGACTCACATTGATTTCCTGTGCGTGGGTGTTACCTTCTAGGTTAATTCTTTTTGATCTAACCTTTTCTCTAGTTCCTGGTCCCCTTTTCCTATTGGCCTCAGTTGCTTTAAGGTATCTGCTTTAGTTTCTCTGCATTAAGGGCAACAAATGCTAGCTAGTTTTTTAGGTGTATTACCTATCCTCACCCCTCCCTTGTGTGCTCTCGCTTTTATCATGTGCTCATAGTCCAATCCCCTTGTTGTGTTTGCCCTTGATCTAATGTCCACATATGAGGGAGAACATACGATTTTTGGTCTTTTGGGCCAGGCTAACCTCACTCAGAATGATGTTCTCCAATTCCATCCATTTACCAGCGAATGATAACATTTCGTTCTTCTTCATGGCTGCATAAAATTCCATTGTGTATAGATACCACATTTTCTTAATCCATTCGTCAGTGTGGGGCATCTTGGCTGTTTCCATAACTTGGCTATTGTGAATAGTGCCGCAATAAACATGGATGTGCAGGTGCCTCTGGAGTAACAGTCTTTTGGGTATATCCCCAAGAGTGGTATTGCTGGATCAAATGGTAGATCGATGTCCAGCTTTTTAAGTAGCCTCCAAATTTTTTTCCAGAGTGGTTGTACTAGTTACATTCCCACCAACAGTGTAAGAGGGTTCCTTTTTCCCCGCATCCTCGCCAACACCTGTTGTTGGTGGTGTTGCTGATGATGGCTATTCTAACAGGGGTGAGGTGGAATCTTAGTGTGGTTTTAATTTGCATTTCCTTTATTGCTAGAGATGGTGAGCATTTTTTCATGTGTTTTGGCCATTTGAATTTCTTCTTTTGAGAAAGTTCTGTTTAGTTCACTTGCCCATTTCTTTATTGGTTCATTAGTTTTGGGAGAATTTAGTTTTTTAAGTTCCCTGTATATTCTGGTTATCAGTCCTTTGTCTGATGTATAGTTGGCAAATATTTTCTCCCACTCTGTGGGTGTTCTCTTCAGTTTAGAGACCATTTCTTTTGATGAACAGAAGCTTTTTAGTTTTATGAGGTCCCATTT